ATAGAAACCCTCAGTGTCTCTGAAGGGTCCATCCAGGCAAATGTTACTGCCTCTGTACAAACATAAGCCCATTCTCAGATCTCACCAACTTTCTTACAGAGGATGCTCACTCATAGTTAACCTCATCAACCTCTTTCCTGCCACCTATATATCCCAGAGCAATATTCTCTTGGACTCGAGCAGTAGATCAACAATCACCGCTCCTCTCCATATTTCTCTCCAGAATATTCCTTTAAAAGTGGACATGAAGAACAGATTGGCATTGACAAATGTATTGCAAGAAATAAACAAGCTTCATACCATCCACAGCCTTATTGGCATCCTGGCTCTGATTGAAACCTGCCTCACTAACAGTGACCACTTGCGCACAATAAAAACTCCCTGGCCACCTTTGACCACCTGCACTATCCAAACTGCTTGGATTGCAGTGTGATTATTCTCACCAAAACACAGTCTGATTTCTCCTGTTAGCCCTCTTGCATTTTCTCTTCCTTTGAGACTTGAACCCGGGGGGTGGCATGGTGGCTCAGTGGTTAGCACTGCTGCCTCACAGTCCCAGTGACCTTGGTTTGATTCCTCCCTTGGGCGAATGCCTGTGTGGAGTTTGCACATTCTCCCAGTGTCTGTGTGGGTTTCCTCCGGCTACTCCAGTTTCCTCCCACAGTCCAAAGATGTGCAGGCTAGATGGAATGGCTATGCTAGTGTCCAGGGATTTGCAGCTAAATGGATTAGCTATCGGTAATGCAGAATTAAAGGAGTAGGATGGGGGGATTGGATCTGGGTTGGATGCTCTTTGAAGGGTCCATACGGATTCAATATGCCGAATTGCCGACTTCCACATTGTACAGATTCTAAGAGAAGCTCACCTAGTTTCTCTTCTCTCTCTCCTATAAAATCTGCATTATTTTCCATGTCCCAATCACCCAGTTCCGGCTCGCATATTGTCTGTCCTTATATTATCTGTCCTAAAGTGCCTGCACTGAGAGATAGACTGCTTATCTTGTAAAGACCATACTTTTAAATTTTTTTTGTAGTTTTGATTGTGGTTTGAAATGGGAAAATTACTGCTTTAAAAACCAAGTATTGTCAGGGGATTACTGCAAATTTTAAAAGCAAGTTAACTGATTGTAGGAAGTGCTATTTACACAGCTGTTTGTGCAAGCAGTGGGGGAAGCCGAGTTACAGTTGAGTAGACAGGACTAGTGAAGCTGAACAGAACTATAATTAAGCCACATTTCCCTGCTACCATTGTGTTGTACAGTGTTTGTTTTTGGTGCACTTCAATGAGATACTTTAAGTCTCAAGCTAAGTTATTGATCATTTCATTTTAAGGTTGGAAGAAATGTTGGCATTCAGATTTTCAAAGCATGCATGGCCTCAGTAAATTACTATGATTAACATTTCATGGAATTGGCCATTCTCCCTATGCAAGAAGACATCACAGTGATCCCGTGACACCAACCTACTCATGTTTGTGAAGAATCCCTCCATTCTCTCACTAATCAGTTGGTGTTCTTGAATGGTCTGTAAATACATCATGCTCCTCAATAATTCTTCCCTGAAATTTTGTAGCCCGTGCGATACAGTTTATGTGTCCGACTAAGGAAGGTTGCACTCTCTGATTCAGAATCTCCACCCTGACAATACCACGTTTCCTTGTTTACTGCAAAGTGAGAGTCACCAAGGAAATCCCAGCTATCTATCGAACTGATTCCACTGAAGGGTGAGTATCTGAGCTGGTGCATGGTAAATCCTGTCACATTCTCAGAACAAATATGCATTTTTGAGACCTCATCATCCATACGGTGTTGAAGACTCTTCATCCACAAACAGAAAATATATTGCCACATTCAAGCTAAGCAGGTTGTAACTTCACTTGTTTCGTGAAATCACGTCAGCCTGACTAACTATTGTATAAATTGATAGGTAACTGGCAGGACCCATCTTGAATGGCCATGTATGCTGAAACGCTATTGCTCCCCAGCACTTCCCATCTGCAGTTGCTAGCTGCAAAAGCAAAAGAGGACCATTTCAATTTGTTCCTTCTCTTTCATACTCCATGCTCTTTCTCATACAACAGGGAAGCAACTAACCTATCAAATTGTAATAGAACATTCTCCATCACTTAATGCAGTGTATTTGATGAGAGTGGCTATCAAGGAGAGGCATGAAACTGCATAAGGATTAGGGCAATTCCCATTGCCAAATGAATGAACAGGATTTGAAGTGCAGAGGAAGAGAAGTATGCCTGTAAGGCCATTGAAGAGATAAGACTGAGTAGACTTGAAAATGCAAAGTGGAAGAATGGGGTGATGCAGAGTGTGGGGTGTAGGTGAGCATTGAACTGTACTCAACGTTTTAGCTGGTTTGGATCACTAAAAATACTTCTTGATTGGGTCCAGGAACATGGTACAACATCTAGCCTTGTCTTAGCAGGTTCCTTCCTTCCAATATTAGGGAAGAATCTCTCTCTTAGGCTCCTCACAACTTCCAGGAATATATCAGGGAGCTAGTTTCAGTCCAGAATAAACAAATTATTTCCCTTGTTTCCCAATCAAACTCCTCTGAATTCCATTATTGACCTTTTAAATATTGGAGTTGAAACTGTATCATGTCTGATGTGGTTGACACATTGAAGTTGCCTTCAACCAAATGGCACAGCTTATAATAAGTTGAACTCAAAAGATATTTAAGGATATTAACATCATGGCATAGCAATTAATCTGATGGGAGGATGCAATTCAGCCATCAACATCTTGAAAAACATTGAGTAATCATTTGTCCCAGACATATAAACTAATATAAACTAACACCACATTTCAAAAACAATACTGAACTAAAAATCATGCTTTTATACACAGAGCATGACTCTGAGGTTTTGTGAATGTCTGTTTCTAGTATTCCCCTGATCAGTAACAAACGGATTTCAATTCTGTGATGCAAAACCAGTACAGCCAACAAGCAGATGGGTTCCATCAGTAGAATCAAAAGGTGAGTTTTATTATCGACAAAAACCCAGCTTTATTTTAGAATTATTCATTAAGTTATTACATTCTGGTTTTGATGTAAACATTTGTACATCTTAAGATTATTTATACAGTTTCATAGCAAGTGGATTCTCCACAAAGATAATGCAAACTTTCCAAACTGGTCACAGATTTTGAGCATAGTCTAACCCTGTTAATTCAAGGTTGCTGAATTCAAATAACATGGTAATTACATTTGTTTTAGAACATAAATTTCCACCGCATGATTCAATCTTTTAGCATCAAAGAGTGCTAATAATAGCAGCAGACTATAACACAAACTGAAGGAGCAAGCAAAACATTTTATCATCTCAGTTCTTCAATGTGTTTCCTCTGCATGATCCATATGAGATACTTAGACAGTCTGTTGGAGAAATTTGAGAGGCGCCACTTGCAGACCATGAAAATTTTTGCAATTAGAAAATTCCATGAGCCACTATCTGCACAGCCAATATGGTATAATGCGATACATCATGAAGGATTCTCACCTGGGCCACCCTTAGTCTACCCCATCATGTTATCTACTTCCGCAAGCAATTGGTCCCCACTTATAGCTCTCAGCTAGATTAGAATGTATCAACAACAATTTTCTGCAGCATGTTATTTGGTAGACAATGAAAAAAAATACAAATGTAAGGCAATATTGTAACTATCTTGTCTAATATGCTCGTGTTTACATTCACATAACCAAAGGCTGGAATTATGTGCAAGTGGTTATGAGTCAGCCTAGCAGAAAGTTACCACCCCTGCAATATCATGGATATGGTTAAATAAAGACGTAACAAGTCAAAGAAATGTTTAATTATGTCTTTGCAGCTATTTTATTATACAGGGCATTCACAGTATGGGCTACTTATTTCACAGTAATTGTAAGTCTTATTAGAACATTTTGGAATAACTACAAAATGCCTTCAAATTCTAAACTCAGAAATATTTGTAAATTCCATCAGAGGCTGGAAATAAATTTGAGACTTTTAACAGCTGTGAGCTGAAAACGGTGCTGATGGATGGACTGTCTATATTTGAAGCACCCCAGTTTACCTGCCTGAGAACTATAGGAAAATTGGGCAGGAGATTTTAACATACATCTGATTTGCTGTCAGCCATTTCATCTCAAGACAGGATGGTTAAATGTTCCTATTTTCTAAGACCAATTTCATCTTTATCAAGTTGCCTTTTGCAAAGTCAATTTTATCAGTGCCGTGTGATTCAAGGTTTGGAAGAATTAGGATTGATTCTAAGTTGCTAAAAAGCTTTATTGGTGACCTCAAATAGACCACCCTCCTTCTCCATGCCAATGACTAACCTGCTGTGAATTTCACAGGGGTACCAACGGGACTGCTCCAAATGACTGCCTATCGAGGCAGTAGATCCCGAGTCATATGCAAGTCAGGATGCCATGTTAACCCATACAGAATCTCGATTATTAATTTAGGAAGTACAGGTCAGAACAAAACCTGTTTGCTCTGGATTGCTTCATGGTTGCACAATCTGAAAAAGACTTCAGGAGCTAATATTTATGCGTTAGGAGGAATACTGAGATTAATTCAAGGCTCTGGTCTTTGCCCTCCTGTACGATCACGACACCTCACCCATGCCAGATTTAACTTGTTGCTAAGTTGGCAGTGACAAGCATTATACATCAGATTGATCATTTGATCATTTGATTGATCACTCACCTTGCTCTATAGATACGTGGCAAACGCATTCAGCTTGTTTGTCCAAATAACAGGACGCTCAATACTTAAAATCAATTCCATTGTAACCTGCATTCAAAGCAGTTTATAGTTTCAGGTGGTGTTCAAGCTATACTATATTGTGAGATACCTGCATTAGCTTTCTCTTATGTGCATTTATATGGAAGTTAAACTCTCTTTACTCTGACACCTGGTAAATGCCACAAACCCCAGAAATAAATAACAGTGGCTGCTTTTAAAGGACAAACATTCAAATCTGTTAAAAGCACCAACTCACTTGTCCTCCCTCGTCTCCTGGGTAGCCTTGAAGTCCCTTTGCACCTCTTTGTCCCTAAAACATGAACACATCAATTAATGAATAGAAAGGACACTCCTTGTTCTAAATTCCAATGAGCAATCATGAAACTGTTAAACATGCACATATATTAGTAACTTACCTTCGGCCCTTTGATCCCTTGCACACCGATCGGACCTGGTTCTCCCAAGCAGGTGCATGAAACATCACAACACTTTGTTTCCATGGCTGCCCTCTGCAGAAAAATATTTTATTATTTATACTTTTTAATAGCATCTTGTGTGATTAACTTCTAAACTTAGTTAAGAAACTGAACAGAAAATTCTTCATCTGAGGAAGTTACACTTATTGATATTAAGAACATTCACAAACAACACATTAATAAAACCGCTTATTGAAACGTTACTGAATAAATGGAGCAATTTGTTTTAAATTCCATTTTCGTAGAGAAAGTTACAGAAGATCAATTCTGTCTTGCTCTTCTCAGGATCACTTACGATTTGGTTCATCAAAGCTTTTCCAATATCCTTCATTTCAATTGATAGCTGTTGTTTGTATCCATATCCAGTTCCAAACTCAATGTGATGAAGCTCATGCACATTGACAGCACCTTCCAGAGCCACTGTGACGAGTGCATGGATTCCTGGAATTATAAAATGCTTATTTATTATCACAATTACTATTGATAATTGAGTAATATTGAAGATTGGATGGTTTGTAGCCTGTTTTAAATGGATGGGAGACTTTTTAAGTGAGTTTATAGAATAAGGTGGAATACATGCTCAGAACAGAAACAAAAATTTAAACTAAAATTAAAACCTTCTGAGGTAAATCATTGCAAATTGGCAATCCTTTCAATTGCTTGCACGTTTGGCAGAATGGCCAAGAACAAAATATTCACCAATTTTTTTTTGAGTTGGAATTTATCCAGCCATTTCATAGTACTGACTGGCTCATGATCACGTATTTTTCCTTCTGCAACATTTCTAACTGCGCAGTTAAAATGGACCCCTTGCTGCTCCACACTACCAAACAATTCGACCGATTCGAAATACTTTTCTGAATTCTCTTGTTTCCATCAAATAAGTAGAGATACAGGACAAAACGTATCTTAAAATTCAGTCCATGAACAAAATGATGATTGATTTTGTTTTTTGCAAGAACAATCAATGTTTCCTAACACAATCTGCAATAGCTGTCCAACTTGGGAAGTTAAATCATTCAATTAAGTGAAACGTGACTGACGAGAATAAACAGCTCACTTGTCAAAGATGTCATCCTCCGGCTCAATTATAATAATCCTGTGCGTGGCACTTCATCGAATGCTTTTTGAGTATCCAGATATACTGCATCCAATAATTCTCACTTATCCTTAATTAGCAGCTCCTCAAAAAACTCAAATTTGAAAAAACATGATACTTCTTCAATAAATCCATGTTTACTCTGACCAATCATATTGGCTCAAACCTTCCAGTCAGTATCAGAACATGTTTTCCAACAATGACCAGTCATGTAAACACCCAATTAAATTCCTCCAATTTTTCTGACTGAGCTTCCTGTAGAGGATTCTGCAGAACTCCTTCAGCACATGAAATCTCAGAGGGAGAAAAGAAAATCTGCCCCAAAGCCAAGCCACCTCATCACCAACCCCGCCCTATCCCCAACACCACCTCCACCCATCCTCCCTTCCCACAACCCCCACCACCCCCCCCGCCCCTGTATGCGCAAGCTACTCAATTGTGGAAAGTAAATGCGCCAAAATTGTTCAATGAGTAAACAAATGAGTGTATGTGCAAATGACAAGGTGTATTGATGGGTAGGGTGGATGTGGTTAAGTGGGAAAATCAGTAAGCTGGATACACTAAGTAGGAAAGTGGGTAGGATGGGTATTAGTCTGTAAGGGCCTGGGGGGGAAATGGGAATGTAGGAAAATGGGAACTGGGTGTCAGGAGGAACCCAGGAACTCCAGGGAAACAGGCATGTTTTGCAGTTATTTCTGATTCAGTGTGAGAAATAAGGCTGAAACATTTGTGACCAATCTTCAGCCAGAAGTGCTAAGTGAATGATCCACTTTAACCTCCATGTGGGATCTCCAATGTCATTGATTCCAGTCTTCAACCAATCAGATTAATTCCATGTGAAATCAAGAAATGAAAGGAGGAAAGAGCCCTGAGCCCTGAGAACATCCTGGTAGAATGGCTGAAGACGTGCACTCTGAAACCACCATCATTGTTAGCCAAGTGGTTTTAGTATACCAACAATGCCGGCATTCACACGACAATATGGACAAATTATAAAATAATTCTGCTCACAAAAGCCAAACAAACCCAAGCTGACCAATACCTTCCCTTCAATCTACACCTGATCATCAAAGTGATTGAAGTCATCATTGAGAGTGCTGTCAAATTGCTCATAATGAGCAAAAAAATGCTTAGTAAGGCTTAGCATGGATCAGGATGACTTGGCTCCCAGCCTCATTAGAGTCTTGATCCAAAAGTGAACTAAAGAATTCAAGAGATGAAATGAGAGTTGTTTTATACAACGTGTGACATTATGGAGTCCAAGCAACATTAAAGTCAATAAGAATTGCAGGCAACGTTCCAACGACTGGAGTCACACCTATTTCAAAGGAATATGGCTTTGGTTGTTGGAGGCCAATAATCCCACCCTCAGGACATTGCTTCAGGAGTTTCTTCAGAATAATGTCTTCAATCTAACCATCTTCAGCTGGTTTCTCAATGACCATCTCCACTTCTGACCTCGTAATGGAGGAACGTTCACTGAAGATTACATACTGTTCAGTATCATTTGTGACTCCTTAGAGGCAGAAGCAGGCTGTCTCTATGTGCAGCAAGATCTGGACAATATTCAGTCTTAAGGTAATAAGAGACAAATGACATCCATATCATGGAAGCTCCAGGCAGTGACCATCTTAAACAAGACAGAATATAATCACCTGCCTTTAAAATTCAGCATCATTACTGTTATAACTATGCCATCTGATAGCATGGGTTTTCAGAAATTATGCTTTCAAAGGACATTTTTACTTTAAAAATCTGTACCTTGGAAATTAAACTAAACTTGTCTCCTCAAGGCAAATACCACAACAAGTCATGTCAGTTACAATGAAACGTTTCATAATCCACTGGATGACAAGGTGCAGAAAACACCATTGATAAGAGCTATAGGGAAGTGGTCACTCCGAAGGTGCAAGCTGCAGGTAGCTGGGTGACCACCAGAAGAGGTAAGGGGGGGAAAGGCATATAGTGCAGAGTTGCCCTGTGGCCATTCCCCTCAATAACAGGTGTATCACTTTGGATACTGTTGGGGGGGATGACCTTTCAGGGGCTAGCAGCAGCAGTCAGGTCAGTGGCACTGTGACCGGCTCTGAGGCTCAGAGGGAAAGGGTGCAGTCAGACAGAGCGATACCGATAGGAGATTCAGTTGTGAGGGGGACAGACAGGAGATTCTGTGGCCGCAGAAGAGACACCAGGATGGTGTGTTGCCTCCAGGGTGCCAGGGTCAAGGATGTCTCTGAGCGGTTGCAGAACGTTCTGAAGGGGGAGGGTGAATAGACAGAGATCATTGTGCACATCGGTACAAATGACATTGGTAGACAAAGAGACGGGGTCCTGGAAATGTGTATAGGGAGTTACGTAAGAAGTTAAAAAGCAGGATCTCAAGGGTAGTGATCTCCGGATTACTAACAGTGCCATGCGTCCGTGAGGATAGAGATAGACAGATAGGCCAGATAAATGCGTGGCTGAGGGGCTGGTTTTCAGTTCTTGGACCATTGGGACTTCTTCTAGGGTAGAGGTGACCTGTACAAGAGGGACACATTGCACTTGAGCCAGAGGGGGTCCAATATCCTCGCAAGGAGATTTGCTAGTGTTACCCGGGAGGGTTTAAACTAGTTTGGCAGGGGGGTGGGACTCTGAATAAGAGAGGTGCCATTGAGAAGTCAGGGGAAAATACATTAGCCATCGAGAGCAAGTTTAGTATTCAGGATAGCCAGGGGTACAGTAAAGGGAGGGAAAAGACTTCTGGTTTAAAGTACATTTATTTCAACTCACAAGGCCTGACTGGTAAGGCAGCTGAGCTCAGAGCATGGATTGGTTCTGGAGCCTGGGATATTATAGCCATAACAGAAACATGGCTGAGAGAAGGGCAGGAGTGGCAGCTCAATGTTTCTGGATACAGAAGCTACAGGCATGACTTAAGTACAAGTAAGCGGGGAGGGAGAGTTTCCCTATTGATAAGGGAGGGCATAACAATAGTGCTTAGAGAGGATATTCTCACGGGATCATCAAATGAGGATATATGGTTAGAACTTAGAAACAAGAAGGGGATGGTCACTCTGTTCCGGCTGTATTATAGACCCCCAAATAGCCAGTGGGTACTAGAGGAGCAGAGAGATTGCAGATACCTGTAGGAATAATAGAGTAGTATTGGTTGGAGATTTTAATTTTCCCTGTATTGACTCAGCCACCCAGAGTGTGAAAGGCCCAGATGAGTTAGAATTTGTCAAATGTGTCCAAGAAAGTTTCCTAAATCAATATGTAGAGAGCCCTACTCAGGAGGATGCAACACTGGGCCTCCTCTTAGGAAATGTGGTCAGGCAAGTGACCGAACTGTCAGTCGAAGAGCTCTTTGGGTCCAGCGACCATAACTCTCTTAGTTTTAACATAGTTATAGATAAAGATAGGACAGGTCCACGGGTTAAGGTGCTAAACTGGAGCAGGACCAATTTTAGGGCCAGTAGACAGGATTTAGTAGAGATTGATAGGGTGAGTCTGTTTGAAGGAAAAGGAATGACTCGCAAATGGGACAAGTGTGACATCAAGAGTACAGTATGTCCCTGTTAGGGTGAAGGGAAAAGCTGGCAGGTTTAGGGATCCCTGGCTGACGAGGGATATTGAGGCTCTGGTCAGGAAAAAGAAGAAGGCATACATTGGGTTTAAGCTATCAGGCTCAAGTGAATCTCTAGATGACTATAAAAAGTGTAGGAGCACACTTAAGAGGGAAATCAGGAGAACAAAAAGAGGGTGCGAGATGGATCTGGCAGATAAGGTTAAAGATAATCCCAAGAGGTTCTCTAACTGTATTAACAGTAAAAGTGTGGCTAGGGAGAGAATAGGTCCCCTTAAAGGTCAGCATGGCCGTCTATGTGTGGAGCCACGGAAGATGGGGGAGATTTTTAATGAATATTTCTCCCCAGTGCTTCCTGAGAGAGAATCATGGCTGCTAAGGAAAAAAAGGAAACAAGTGGGGATGTTTTGAACCGCATATATATTACCAGAGAGGAGGTGTTTGCAGCCTTAAAGCGCATTAAGGTGGATAAATCCCTTGGGCCTGATCAAGTCCATCCTTGGACATTGTGGGAGGATGGGAAGAAATTGCAGAGGCCCTTGCCAAGACTTTTGCTTCATCTTTGGCCACTGGTGAAGTTCCGGAAGACTGGAGGGTGGCTAATGTTGTTCCATTGTTTAAGAAAGATGGCAAAGACAAGCCAGGGAACTACAGGCCAGTGAGCCTGACTTCAGTGGTAGGCAAGTTATTGGACAGGATTAACAAACACTTGGAGAGTAAAGGTCTGATTAGGGATAGTCAGCATGGATTTGTGCACGGGAAGTGTTGTCTGAC